TGGGGGGCGGGGGGAGAGGGCTGGGCGGGTAGATAAGTGCAGCAAGAGAATGAATGGAAATCCAAATTCTCTGTAAATGTTCATTAAAATTATTTTTTTTAAAAAAGAGAGAAAGCTGCGCTCAGGAAAGTTAAATTTCAGGTCATAATGTAAACTAGACACATAAATTTATTTTTAGTAGACTAGCAACTTCCTAGTAATTGAATTTATTATAGTACCAAATATGCAATGAACATAATTTTCTACAGTCTACCTGTTTAAGAGATACACATTGTACAGAGTAAAAGAGATTTTGAAGATAAACTTTTTAGTCTACAATTGAGAAATTAAAAGTATTTACATGTAAGCCACCTTTAAAACACCAGTAAAATGAATATCAATAAATAGAATCTATTTATATAAATTATTAGTGAAATACAATTAGTTAAATATATATCTTTGCTTCAAAAGGTTGCTAAATCTTCAGACTACAGATTAATTTTATTTGGAGGCAAAGTAAGGAAAAACCATCCTGTCAGCAGAAAACCTGTGGAGGAACAGCTAAGCATAGCACTAACTGAAATAAGGTTCATATCTTCTGCTACCTAAATAAAGGATGCCTTAATATTAAAAAACCCTGAAGCAGAGCTGTATTTCAACATAGACACTAAATCCATTTCTATTAAGGCTAAGAAAAATAAAAGTAAAAACCTAACAAACAAAAAACTCCTATATAAGGGAACTCTGGTGGCGGGCCTAGTGGCAAGAAGCTGCACTGCAATCTTGAAAGGTACATGGTTTGAGGCCACCAGCTCTCTGCAAGAGAAGGATGGGCAATCTCCTCTTGTGTGATTTACTGCCTCTGAAAACCTGCAGGACGGTCATGTATGAGTTGGTCCCTACTCGATGGTACCCCAAAACAACATATGTAAATTAGAATATCTGAAGACGTATAAGACATTAATTAAGCACAATCCTATCTAAAACAGTTGTTCATGTTTTATTACCATTTCTTTTCAATATTTTTCCATTGACTTCTTTTAGAAAAGAGTTTACAACCTAACATTACAACACATGGACGTTACTATTACTAAAAATTATACAGGCCTGGTAGTAATGCATTCATTCTCATTGTAGAATCAGGTGTGTTTCCAGGTGATTTGAGAGAATAGATGCAGCCCCTGACACACACAAACACACACACACACACACACCCCCACACACCATGTTGTTAATACCTTGGTTTAAAAGCCATTTTACCATAGATTACACTGGTTCTCCTGGTTATAAGCACAGTTTTAAAAATAGGACATCCAACTCCTGAGTTTGTAAATGAAGTACACTAAATTGATCTTGTCTTAGTTAATTTAATAAGCTCAAGGTTAAATACAAAGATCATGCATATCTATGCTTTCAACCCTTTGCAATGTTCCTTGATTCCATTATTTCACTTTCATTAAAACCACGAGAAAGATATGGTAGAATAGAACTCAAATTACCAATATATAAATCAAGGTACATAAAAGATGAAATGATATAAAATTTATCCAATCAATTTAAAATAACTAGAAATCAAGTTATTTGATTAAATAACAGTATCACTTCTTTTTATTTTAATCTACACTGAAAGCTTTATTAAATTCACACTGAGGAACAAATTTGTTTAGCAAATTCTAAAACCAAGGCATAATCTCTTTTACCGGGAAGGCATGCAACTCCTTCTGCACTATAACAAATGTTTTTTAACACAATACATATATTTTCAGAAGGGGACATAGGCTAAAAGTTAGAAAATTCTGTTTATAGCAATATTCTTTCTGTATGAAAGAAACTTTTATTTTCTGTTTCAATTTTTTTATTTTTTTATTGGAATGTTATTTCTGCCATCAAGGAGATGCCAAAATAGGTTATCAATATTTATTTCAGTTGAGTTAATAATCATAACCTATTTAGAACTGGGCCTGGTACTAAGTAAATCCTAAGTAAGGGATGTTGTGCTATCAAGTAAATTCATACTCCAACAACTATGTACAACTGATCAAAACACTGCCAGGTCCTGAGCCATCCCTACCATCAATGCCAAGATCTTGTTGCAGTCACTGTGTCAACCCATCTCAATAAGGTCTTACTCTTTTTTATTGGCTCTCTACTTTAGCAAGAATGATGTCCTCCAGGGACATTCTGGTAACACATATGAAGTCTTGTCATCTTCCTTACTAAGGAGCATTCTGACTGTTACTTCTTTCAGGTCAGATGTTTGTCCTTCTGGCAGTCAGTGGTATATTCAATATTCTTACTAATACTATAATCCAAAGGCATCAATTCTTCTAAGGTTTCATGGCCAATAGAAAATATCATGGGGTTGAATCAGACACACCTTAGACTTCAAAATGACACCTCCGCTTTTTAACATGTCAAGAAGATCTTTTGCAATAGATCTGTCCAATGTTGTTTGATTTTTTTTTGACTGCTACTTCCAAGGGTAATTAAATGTTGGCCATATATAATGTGAGTTTTTGTTACATTTTTAAACAGCCAAATACATAATCAAGAAACGACTGCGTTAAGTGTTGAGGTTCAATAATTTATTTCAAAGAATACAACTAAAGCCTCAATGGAAAGTATCTAAGTCTATTTCTATCCATGGACTTTTAACTATATTACCTAGAAATTTACCTACATCTACAGAAGTCACTTAGCCAAATACAGTGCACTGCCAGCCCAAAGATAAGCAGTTCCAAGGCACCAACTGCTTTAGGGGAGAAAGACAGACAATCTCTTCCTTTGTAATTCAAAGCCTCTGAAAACCAGCTGAAGGGTCAGCTATGAGTACCCTGTGACTCCGTGGCAATGTTATAGCCAGATTACACTTCCCCATTCTTGTCCAAGTTTTAGGATCTTAATAACAACAGGCTTATGGTATTATTTAATAATTTACTGAAAACGGTACAGCAATAGTAAAGCTGGACTTAAAGCTGAGGACTAATTGGGGGGGAACCCCACCTGTCCCCACAAGTAAGAAACAATTCTTATAATTTTGATCCCAATTAAATAGGCAATGCAGTGGAAAAGTGTGTCCTATGTTGTTGTTATGTGTTATGAGTCGCTCGCGACTGCTACCAAATAGATTTAAGCTTGCAATACACTGCCTGAAAACAGACCTAAGGGGGGGGGGGGAGAATCAGCTCTCCAGTCTCTTTCCATTATGAAGATTACTCAAGATTTGCTTGCTTCTGGAATAGGTTTTTCAAGCATCATAGATGGGAAAAAGTTTAAAAATGTTTTTGTCACTTTCTGGGAGAGTTTGTGTGGGTTTTGGGGTTTTTTTTTTTTACCCTTTTATCATAGAACACTCCATTTGGGCAACACAGCACCCTAAGTTAGGTCTGACTCAATGTTTCTCCTGGACGACTATCCAGGTCTTATTGTAAAGAGAATGTTCTGAATTTAAGCCTCCTGATTTCACACAAAAATGACAACCTTCAGTAGTACTTGACTTTAATCTGTTTAATCATTTTACTATTTTACCTCTTCCTACTCAGTCCATCCATTCATCTAACCTAATTTCTCACATGTTCTCTTTTCTCGAAAGACTTCCCCCACAAGTAGAATGCAATAATAAAGAAAGAATAGGTCCAAAAGAGTTCTGTTTTCCTCTTGATAGAAGTGAATGACCTTGCCAAAAAGTAAAGCAGCGCGAACTGGAGGTACAAGCGAAGAGAGCCCACCTTTACAATTCCATGCCGCCTGTGCCAGGCCACTCGGGCTGCGCACCCTGAAGCTCGCACCTCTCTGGAGCCGCAGGCAGATCCGGCTCAAGACCGGGAGAGGGGCGCCCCAGAGGCTCTCTCGCACTTTGCAACTCCCCAGGGACCACTCACCTTGCTGGGCTCCGGCGTCCTCCAGCAGCAGGAGGAGGATAAGTAAGAACAGGAGGAACAGGGGCATGGAGGAGGAGGTGGAGTTGTTAGAGTGGGGTGGGAACAAGAGGGAGCTGGGGAGGGAGATCGCGGCCCGGGCGGGGGCGGCGGCCGCGGCCCAAACTCGGGGGCGCTGCGGGCTGCGCCTGGCGCTCAGCACATCCCGGCTCGCCATCGCGGCCGGCAATCCGCCTGCATAGTGGGCGCCCCGGGAGCCTCGGGCGCCCCGGGGACACGACACCTGGCGAGGTGGAGGCTGAAGAGCAGGAGGCAGCGCGCGCCTCACCCCGCGCCGGGACCCCCTCCGCCCCTCACCCCGCTTTCGCCTCCTCCTTCCTCCCTTCCCTCCGCTCCCCGCCCCGAGACCCCAGGGCGGAGCGCAGGGGAGGGGAGGGAAGGAAGCGGGGAGGCTAGTCTGCGGAGAACGGCCGCGATGGAGCGAAGGGACGCGCCTCCCGCGCCGTGATGGTCGCTTGATCCCCAACTCGCCGCGCTCTCTCGCGGCTCTGCCTCGCAGGCTGGCAGGCGGGCTGCCAGCTCCCTCGCGCTCCCTCTCGCGCTCTCAAGCCACGCCTCCTAGGTCTCTAGAGCCAATCCGTAGTCGTCGTTGGTCCGGCACCCTGCACGTCACCCAATCAACATGCACCCTCTTCTGTCGACCGGTTAACTCCTCAGCCCACTCTTCCAGCTCCACCGCCCCTCATCTCTCTCCTCCAATCACCTTCGGTCTTTGTGAGCTTCCCACCCGCCTCCACGCCCCCTCTCCCGGGACCCGCCCCTCCGCGCCAACCTTTTGGGGAAGGGGGCGGGGGATGGTTCCTACGGGACCCAGCCCCTGTTATTGTTGGGACCGCTGCCTGAGCTGATCCCGCGGGGACGACTGCTCACTCTGGTCAGTGACTTCCGGGACTTCCCACATCCCACTCCTGCTCCTCTGGCCCAGCTTGTTCTTTGCTCCACCCCTGCCGCACATCAGGCCACTGGAGGGGGTGGGAAACCTGGCTCTTGGATAGTTGAAGCTGGGAGCTAAGATTAAGACTTTTTTTTTTGAGCAGAGAATGTTTTTTATTAAAACTACAGACAGTTGTTGCAGCAGTTCCGAGTTACAATAACAGATGCAGCGTTCATTAAAAAAAAAAAAAAAGTACCACCGCTATTGTATGACCTTCACACACATTAGACAGTGAGAAGGGAAACAAAAAGGATAAAATAAAATCCATGCTCTCAAATCTATCTAAAACTAGCATGCTAACATTCAGTCTTCTACAATGAATTTTTCAAAACTTGCCCTTTACATGCGAACACTTGGCTAAGTAAGAGTTGTGAGTTGAAGACAAAATACAGGCATCTCGCAGGATCTGTTTATGGTGGAGTCAGAGATGGAAATAATGCATGCAAGCTGGTATAAAATAAGTGCAAGTTAGAATAAACCAAAACTCATTGTCAGACAGTTGATTCTGACTTCCGAATATCCCATTTGTTTCAAAGTAGACATGAGCCCACATTTTTCCGTGGCTGTGGTCCTAAGGAGATTGACCACCAACCCTTGCTTCTTAACTGGTAGTTTTAAACTTCCAACTTCAATAACTGACTGGTAAGCAATTTGATGCAGATAGGAGGGACCAGTCCTTGGAGAGAGACATCATGCTTGGGAGGGTAGAGGTACAGCGCAAGAGAGGAAGACCCTCGATAAGATGGATTGATACAGTGACTGGGGTAATGGGGGTAAGTGTGTCAGAGACAATAAGATTGTCAAAGGATAGAGCAGGGTTTAGGGCTGTTGCACATAGGGTCTCTATATGTCGCAGGCGACTCGATGGCACATAACAACAACTTGTAAGGAGATGGAGGAAACAAATTATTTGAGATGAACAAATCCAAAGGACAAGGGAATGATTGATTTTACGGGGGAGACCTGTAGCATCCAAAATACATGAATTCCTGGGAAGATGCCATTAACATGAACAGGAACCTGGAAAGATGAAACAGAAAAGATGTGGGAAGAAAGCATGTTAATGTGAGACCTGTTGTTCTTGAGAAGACAGTTTAACTAATATATGAAGCTACTTGCAAGTGTGCATTTTCCTCTAAAGGTCCAATCAATAAATTCACTGCATCTATAGGTCTGGAGTCATGGACGGATGTGACATTTAAAGCCTTTGAAGGGAAAGATATCGTCAAGAGAAAATCTGAAAGTTGGAAGAGAGTTTGGAGGCCATCTTTTAAACTTCCCTGCATGCCTTCATAAATTCTTATAACGAAATTGTTTTACTAACAACATATTGGATACTTTGAAACTCTACAGTGTTTCAGGTTTAATGCAGGCATCTGACATTAGGCATATAAAGTTCAATCAGAGGAGTTCAGAGTTTCATGGGTGAACCAACACTAGAATAGGAGCTAAGGGACACACTATGGCAACTATGAAGTGACAGCTGAGCCTTGAATAATAGGACATGTGAAGAAATCCAGAGCAAGAGAGGCTGGAGCAATGACACAGCACTAAATGGAGTTCATGGAGCTGAGTAATTTTGACATCCACTGACTTAATGAGAACTGAAAATTAATCTGGGGAACTTGGTAAGGGCAAGATCTAACTCAGATTTAAAAGTAAGGAGGAAAGATTTCTTGTAATCCTGAGAAAGGAATAGCGTTCTAAACAAAAAAAGTGACATGATCAGATTTTTATTGCAAAAAGTGAACTTTGATAGAGGGCAAAGAATGGGTTGTATTAAGTGTAGAGCCAGAAACCACGGGAGACTAATCCAAAGATTATTCCAACAATCTGTATAGTTTGAGGGCATGTGAGTACTTCTTTTTTTTATTATTATTAAATTTTATTAGTTTCAATGAACATTCACAGGGATTCTGGGCTTTCACTCCTTCATTGCCGCACCATTCTCTCCACCCTCCTCCCCAGTTTGTTCTTCTTCCCCGCCATCCAAATGTCTCTTTTAATTGTCCAATTGCCACAGTGCTTGTCAAAGTCAGTTCTGATTAATCTCCTTTGTTGGTGTGTCCTTTGCCATTCCCTATCACTTCTGAATTCATAGCATCAGTGTACTGGAAAAGGTAAAGGATAGTGCTAAAGAAATATTTATTGCAGCACCCAGGAGCAATAACTTTGTAAATTATTATCTAACTTGAGACTGGAGAGCATTATGCTGAGTGAACTAATTCAGACCCAAAAGGATAAATATTGTATAAAACCGTTATTGTAGAATGAGTATAAGGATCCATGAGGAGTGGGAGGGTGGAAGCAGAGGCATGTAGATGTGTAGGGGGAAGGCGTGATTAATCATTGGGTTGTACAATTTGATGGGTGGGGAGTGAGGGAAATTGAAAAAAATTTGTTCAAATTTGTATTTGAATTTTGTAAATAAACTAGTAGAAAAAATTGTTGTTGTTGTTTGTTGTTATGTGCCGTCGAGTCGCCTGCGACTCATAGCGACCCTATGTACAA